AACTGTAATTTAAAAAGACACATGCACCCCCAATGTCTACTTCAGTACTATTTACGATAGTCAGGACATGGAAGCAACCTAAGTGTCCACTGACGAATGGATAAAGAAAATGTGATACATATATACAATGGAATATTACTCAGCCATAAAAAGAATAAAATCATGCCACTTGCAGTAACATGAATGAACTCAGAGTTTGTCATCAGTTCAGTTCAGTTGCTCGGTTGTCTCTGACTCTTGGCAACCTCATGGACTGCATGCAGCACACCAGGCTCCCCTGTCCATCACCAACTCCCAGAGCTTACTCAAACTCATGGCCACTGAGTCAATGATGCCATCCAACCATGTCATCCTCTATCGCCCCCTTCTCCTCCTGCCTTCAATCTTTCCCAGCATCAAGGTCTTTTCAAATGAGTCAGTTCTTTGCATCAGGTGGCCAAAGTATTCAGCTTCAGCAACAGTCCTTCCAATGAATATTCAGGACTGATTTTCTTTAGGGTGGACTGGTTGGATCTTCTTGCAGTCCAAGGGATTCTGAAGAGTCTTCTCCAACACCACAGTTCAAAAGCATCAATTCTTCAGTGCTCAGCTTTCTTTATAGTCCAACTCTCAGATCCATACATGACTACTGGAAAAACCATAGCTTTCACTAGATGAACCTTTGTTGACAAAGTAATGTCTCTGCTTTTTAATATGCTATCTAGGTTGGTCATAACTTTTCTTCCAAGGAGCAGCGTCTTTTAATTTCATGGCTGCAGTCACCATCTGCAGTGATTTTGGAGCACAAAAAAATAAAGTCTCTCACTGTTTCCATTGTTTCCCCATCTATTGGCCATGAAGTGATGGGACCGGATGCCAAGATCTTAATTTTCTGAATGTTGAGTTTTAAGCCAACTTTTTCACTCTCCTCCTTCACTTTCTTCAAGAGGCTCTTTATTTCTTTTTTGCTTTCTGCCATAAGTGTGGTGTCATCTGCATATCTGAGGCTATTGATAATTTCTCCTGGCAATCTTGATTCCAGCTTGTACTTCATCCAGTCCAGCATTTCTCATGATGTCCTCTGCACATAAGTTAAATAAGCAGGGTGACAATATACAGCCTTGACATACTCCTTTCCCAATTTGGAACCAGTCTGTTGTTCCATGTCCAGTTCTAACTGTTGCTTCTTGACCTGCATACAGGTCAAGAGTTTGTCACACTAAATATGTCAGAGGGAAAAAGACAAATATCATATCATATCACTTACATGTGGAATCTGAAAAATGACACAAATGAACACATTTACAAAACATAAATAGACTTACAGATAATTGAAAACATAGTTACCAAAGGTGAAAGGCTAGGGGAAGGGATAATTTAGGAGTTTGGAATTAACATACACATACTAGTGCATGTAGAATAGATAATCAAGAAGGACTTACTGTATAGCCCAGGGAACTCTATCCAAAATTCTGTAATAATCTACATAGGAAAATAATCTTAAGAAGAATAGATATCTGTATATATATAACTGAAGAACTTTGATGTCCACCTGAAACCAATATGACACTGTAAAATCAACTATTCACCAATGTAAAATTTAAAAATAAAAAACTTCCAACAAATCAAAGTCTAGGAGCAGACAGCTTCACAGATGAATTATAACAAGCATTTCCAGAATAATTAACACCTATTCTTCTCAAACTGTACCAAAGGCTTGCAGAGGAAACCTGCAGTCAGGAATGATAGGGTTGGGGGAAATGGATGCAGGGTCACGACAAAACCTTGATACCTGATGACTGGAGCACTGAGCACTGGACATACAGTAGAATGCGAGAAATGGGTGGAAGTCATCGGAGTGTGGGGAGAATAGAGGGCAAGGGAAAAAGAAGACATGAAGGATGAAGGGTTTGGAATGGAGGAGGGCTGGGCTTAGAGCTCTGGAATCAGGGGGATGGGGGTTTCAATGGGATGGAGGTCTAAAATTCACAGGATGGATGTGGGAGAGCAATAAAGAAGCCTAGGTGGGAAAGAATTATTTCTAGAGATAAACATCACACAGGTGAAGGTATTGAGGGCACACTGAGGAATAGAGAATGACGGAGGAGAGGGATGGAGGTGAGGTGATGGCAGTTGCAGAGGCGGTGTGAGGGGCACTCATTTTTTTCTCCTCTTCACTAATTCCATGATTTGCATTCAAATCATAACCCAATAGTGAACAGTTTCTAATTTGAGTCCTTAAGACAAATTACATACCTACATAACAAATTACCTTATTCACCTAAAATCCTTGTGACCATCCCTTCAACTGAATATACAGTAAAGGATTTGAGAAAAAAAAGAGTAAAACAATGACACACTATATTTCTTCTCTTTTAGGGATGCAGGATGTAAGACGTGAGCATGAGGAAGCCACCAGGATGTAATGGGCTCTGCCTAGCACCTGAACGGTCCTGGCAATGGACTGTCCTCTGAAAGCTTCAGATAAGAACCTAGGCCTTATGACACCCTGAGTTTTGACCTTGAAAAACGCTAAACAGCAAGTGCAGCCAAAACAGCAGGATTTCTAACTTATGAACTGTAGAAATTTTTTTAAACTGCTAAATATGTGGTCTTATTTTATGGCAGTGATTAAAAAAAACTACTACATATAGGATCAAATTATAAAATAATAAACATTATAAAAGACAAAATTATTAAATATTTAAACAATAAAAGTCAAGTAAAAATGCCCACTTATCAACCACCTCTGGAGGCAATTAAAGTTTTATTTCCAGATGTAACATCCTCAGTTCCAAGTATATCCTCCTTGTATGAAATGTGTCATTTAAACTACATTTGAACTTATATATTACACACGCACACATACACAAACACTAAAATATTATGTTGCTGTTGTTCAGTCGCTAAGTCATGCCTGACTCTTTGTGACCCTATGGACTGTAGCCTGTCAGGCTCCTCTGTCCATGGGATTCTTCAGGCAAGAATACTGGAGTGGGTTGCCATTTCCTCCTCCAGGGGATCTTCCCAACCCAGGGATTGGACCCACATCTCCTGCATTGGCAGGTGGATTCTTTACTGCAGAGCCACCAGGGAAGCCCAAAATATTATGTACATGGTTCAATATTGACATACATATTGTTAAATCAAACTTTCTATCAATCAAATTGCCGTCTTTAACCAATGATATAGGAAGGTGATATTTTCCACACCAGCAGAAACGGATCTCTTGCATTCCAACAGACATCATATCATATTCCATGGTACATATGAATAAAATGACTGTACAGAAACATTTCCTAGTGATGCATTTCCATGTTTGCATGTGCTCTTCTCCTGCTATCACAGACTATGGATCTTTAATCTGTACACATGTGGATTACCTGGTGGTCTGGGGCATGAAACTGTTGCTCTTACGTGACTACACTTCTACACTAATCGAACAATTGCTGACTTGCCTTGCAGATGGATAAATAGTATAATATCCCCCCTACTGCATTTCCAGTGTTAAAGTAATTAAACAAGGAGGTCATTAGGCTGAGGTTGGGCTTCCCAGGTAGCACTAGTGGTAAAGAACCTGCCTGCCAATGCAGGAGACAAGAGACTTGGGTTTGATACCTAGGTCAGGAAAAACCCCTGGTTGAGGGCATGGCAACCCACCCCAGTACTCTTGCCTGGAGAATCCCATGGACAGAGGAGCCTGGTGGGCTCTGGTCCATGGAGTTGCAAAGAGTCGGACTCGACTGAAGCGACTTAGCATGCACGCATTAATGACTAATGGTTTGGGAACCTATTTAAGCAAACTTAATCTGGAGTCAAGGCATTTTAATCTGAGAATATAAATTAAGATCAACCAACACACAGCCAACCAGGCTTTCCAAAACCAAGCTTTCTGGTTAAGATACCATCAAGTATCATCCTTGCTTTGATGTGGTGTCCTCTAGAAAACTTCTCCCCCAACCCCTGCAGACGAAGTGCTCCAAAACTACCTTTGATCTGAAGCTGTGAGAACTGGAATTAACTCTTGGAAACTTGAACGTGTGTTAAGTGTAGCTTTGAACACCACACAGTCACCTTCTACTTTGAGAAGTGTCTTTATCTATAAACACCTCATCCAGGTGCAGCGTGGCCTGAGGCCTCAATGAACAGCTCTCCCCACTTCTCCCCACTCCCACTCACTCGGGACGTTAACACACAACCCAACTGTGCCCTCGCCTGAGCAGACCTCACCCTGGTAAGAACACTACCCAGCCTTTCCTATCAGAGACCCCTCCGCACACTGAGCACTGCACACAGGATTGTCCACCTACACCAGCCCCTCCCAGGGCCAGCACCCACAGCCCCTGGCTTCTCCCTCCACCATCCCTGGACTCCAGACCACCAGGTTCAAATCCCATTGCAATGACGCCCACTCACCTAAGTTCCAAGGTCAGGCAAGCTGGGAGCTGGCACCACAACTGTAGCACAGACCAGTTCTCCCTCCTTCCCCTGTCCTTACCCCTTGGGGTTTTGACAACCTTCCCCTTTCCGTCTTTTCCTTCAGCCCAGAACTTCACACAAGCACAAATGGAACACAGGAGAGACTCACGAGGACCTGAACCCAGGTCCTCTAATGGTGCAGCACACGACCCAAGAGCAGCTTGGATCAGCGAGTGGCCACCAGAACCACCCAAGAAACATAAACACAAGAGGCACTCATCAACCTCTGATAGCACGGCTTAAACTGCTTCAGCAGCCCCACACAGAACAGACCTTCTTCTAATATCAGGCTCCAATAGCTAATGTCAGTTCAGATAATATTTAAAACAACAACAAAGCCCTGCCATGGCTCCACCCCTACTCCCTGCTCATCCTTTTCAGAAGATGCACCTCTGAGACACAGGAGATGTCAACCTTGATAAATAAATTCTCAAAGTAATTTCCACTGAAGCAGAGCTTCCCAGCCCTCATTTAAAAACTAAGCTTCCTTCCCCCTCTTTGAACTCACACCTGTGCCATGTGCTTCATTCATTCCCACCTACCTGAGTGATGACTGCTGTCTCCTTTGCTCAAAAAAGGTGATCAGGTTCAACTTCCATACTTCGAGACCTATTAAAAAATGGAGCAGGAATCACCCTAGGGATTCTACAATTTCCAACCCTGTATTGTGTTCACAGAAGAGAAGACACAGAAAATTATTCCACCAAATACCATTCCCTGACAGATACTTTAAAATACTCAGGAAGCATTTCTAATTCACAGATCCTTAACTCTACTTCCAAAAATAAGGAACTCTATCAAATTAAGGAATGACTATTTGACTTTAAGATATGGGCAACAGTATTTTATGAGTCTCTAGAATGATCTAGAGTGAAGGATGAGGTCAACTCAAGAGATGAGAAGGATGAGATGAAACATTGTAAAGATTTTCTTTGCATCCATAAACCCCTAGTTCCTTGAAATGATCTCATTTTTCTTTTGTATTATGGCATTTTAAGATACCTGAACATATACTGTAGGACTCATGTTTTCTTTTCTTGAAGATACAAAACGTAATAAAGAGGAGAAAAACTGTGACATGACTGTCGAATAAGAAATTTACAGAATGTTTACTGACAAAAGACTGAAGAAAACCGAGAGGTGTCATTTTCCACAGCAACCTACTGGTAAAAGGACATGAACTAGATGGGGGACTTTTCAGATTAAACTCAATGGTTCATGCGCATCTCTCAGTAAATCCCACCGGCACTCTGTTAACAATAATTGTAAAATTCTTAGCTTTTCGAGGAATCTGGCAGACAGGCATCTGAGCCAAATGAACAAAATGAACATCAGCTATGATGGGACAAATTGATATCACCTGCCCCATGTATGCAGGGCTCATCACTGCTGTGTTGGTTTTACAAAAAAGCAAGCAAACAAAAAACAGATTTTAAAAAAGCATTAATCTAGTCATGAGATCAGGATTAAGCACATTTAAAGCCACATATTAACTCTTGTATCCTGTACTCTTGTGTATTTTAAATAGTAAATCTCAGAGGCAACTGAGAGCTCTGTTTCTTTTTCAGAACTCTGGGTTCTGGACAGCACAGCCATCTGTTTTATTGGTGCATTTTCATAATTCTTGTCTACACAGACCCATGCTGCCTCCAGACAGAACCTAAATAAACTACATACTGTCCTTCGTCAGTGACATCCCAGGACCCAACCGCACATTCGGTGGGAATTTTGTATATCAACACATTCCCACGTTGATTTGAAAGACAAAAAGGGAACTTTTTTGAAAAAGAAATTTTATAATCTGTTACTCTTTTTTCTGGGGGTCAGTCAGTTCAGTCGCTCAGTCATGTCCGACTCTTTGTGACCCCATGAATCACAGCAAGCCAGGCCTCCCTGTCCATCACCAACTCCTGGAGTTTACTCAAACCCATCTCCATCGAGTCAGTGATGCCATCCAAACATCTCATCCTCTGTCGTCCCCTTTTCCTCCTGCCCCTAATCTGTCCCAGCATCAGGGTCTTTTCCAATGAGTCAACTCTTCGCATGAGGTGGCCAAAGTACTGGAGCTTCAGCTTCATCATCAGTCCTTCCAATGAACACCCAGGACTGATCTCCTTTAGGATGGACTGGTTCGATCTCCTTGCAGTCCAAGGGACTCTCAAGAGTCTTCTCCAACACCACAGTTCAAAAGCATCGATGGAGTCTAATTGTTTTACAATGTTTTGTTAGTTTCTGGTGTACAACATGGAGCAGGCAATGGCATCCCACTCCAGTTCTCTTGCCTGGAAAATCCCATGGAGCCTGGTAGGATGCAGTCCATGGGGTCGCTAGGAGTCAGACATGACTGAGTGACTTCACTTTCACTTTTCGCTTTCACGCATTGGAGAAGGAAATGGCAATCCACTCCAGTGTTCTTGCCTGGAGAATCCCAGGGACAGCAGAGCCTGGTGGGCTGCCATCTATGGGGTTGCGCAGAGTCGGACACGACTGAAGTGACTTAGCAGCAGCAGCAGATGTACAACAATGTGAAGCAGCTATATATACATAAAACACACACACATATTTGAGCATCTGAGAAAACTCTGGGAGATGGTGAAGGAAAGGGAAACCAGGAGAGCTGTGGCCCGTGGGATCCCAAAAAGTTGAACGTGACTTAGTAACTGAACAATTCTGTATACACACACACACACACATGTCAATGGTAATTTCCCAATTCGTCACATCCTCTCCTTCCCCCACGTCCACACGTCCGTTCTCTACATCTGCGTCCCTATTCCTGCCCTGAAAATAGGTTCATCAGTACCAAAAAGGGAACAGTTTTAACATTTGCACATCATAGCAGGAATCCTTCATGTCATATAGGGAGCCTGGTTGGAGACGATGGAGAGAATGTGGTGGATGAAGGAGAAATGTTGAAAAGATCTACCCTTGGCTAGCACTAGGAAGAAAAGTACTGAAAACAAATCTGATGGGCAGGCACACTGGATTTACAGAAGTGTTTGCAAGTTCTAAACACATGGGGTTTCTGCAATAAAAGGTAACAGAGCCACCAACCTGGGTCACAATACTTACGGGAGACCCTGGCATTTCTTCCTCTTCCTCCTCCACTTCGAAGTTTCTTTCTCTAGCAATACTATGTAGAGAAATCACACCTGTGTATTTCTAACGGCATCAGCACAGCCTATTCACGTGAGGCAGAAAGACCTTGAAGTGCAGGAACAGCCACCTGACAGAGTCAGGACAACACAAGTACCTCCATGGAGACCAGAACACGATTTTCTCCTGCCCTGTTTACACACACTCGACCACTCACCCTGTGGCATCAGAGGGGAGTGTGGGCTGCATGGACCAGACCCGCCCACACAGACTACTGTTGTTGTCGTGTCCAACTCTTGCTGACCCCATGGAATGGAATGTAGCCCGCCAGGCTCCTCTGTCTATGGGATTCTCCAGGCAAGAATATTGGAGTGGGTTGAATTTCCTTCTCTAGAGGATCTCCCCCACCCAGGGATTGACCACGTATCCTGCACTAACAGGCGGATTCTCTACTACTGAGCCACCTGGAAAGCCCACACAGACTATTACCTTTTCTTCAACTAAAGACTGAACTCAATTCATCACAAAAATATCTGAGAGCCCTCTTGAGTAACCCTGGTTTCACCCCGGAACTGCCCAGAGCAGCTAATTAAAACAAATTCACTTGTAATTTGTGTAAATTATGTTCAATTGAAACGACACTGCACACCTGAATCAAATACAATACCGACGATCAACTCTACTTCATTTCAGAAAAACAACCTTCCGCCCAGGCCAACAGGATCTGTGAGAGGGGACACAGGTTACAGTTATTAAATCTCACCACATCATCTTCTTCATTGTAAGCCTAGAGGGATAAGCACTTACGTAAATGTTTCCTCTCAAATTTAAACATGCAGACAAACCATTCCAGGACTTGTGGAGGAAACTGACTCTGCAGTTCTGGGGAGGGACCCATGATCTGGCATTTTTATCCAGTTTCTTCTTTGTGCCGATGCAGCCCCCAGACCCGTTTTTAGTGTCACTGCACACAGGCAAGCGGGCAGAACACACCTGAACCCCTCATACCAACTCTCTTATCTCGACACAACTACTGTGAGCTCCACTAAGGACCACTATCGTGGCCTTGAAAGATTACATGTTCGGCTGGCATTTTACAGTTTATAGAAGGCTGATAAAGGCTGTAACATGAGTCTCTAATTGGACACCATATGTATACAGTTAGCACAACAATTACTGAGCATCTGCTATGTGTTTGAAAACAGGTTACTGTGCACTGTTTAATACTGTGTGCACAGCAGCTCAGTTGTGTCCGATTCTTCCGCCTCCATAAGACTACTCCGCCAGGCTCCTCTGCCCATGGGACTTCCCAGGCAAGAATACTGGAGTGGGTTGCTATTTCCTTCTCCAGGGGATCTTTCTGACCCTGGGATCAAGCCCTCATCTCCTGTGTTTCCTGCATTGGCAGGCAGATTCTTTACCACTAGCACCACCAGAGAAGCCCCTAATATATTACTAGAGTTTCTCTTCATAACACCCTGGGATTTGGGCACTGGGCGTCTCAGAATAACCCTGAGATTCACCTGTTTCCTTATCTTTGACTTAAAAACAGTATTTGCATACAATAGAAGCTAACCATAGACGGCTAGAGGAATTCAGAGAGAAGAGGTATCTTAGAAGTTCAGAATTTTCATTGTTTTATGTTTACTTTTTTTTTCCTAAATGGATAAAGTTTTATAAGTAAAAGCCAATTAGTTTTCCTATCTGGCTATATTTTTTATACTCCCACCAGCAATATAGGGTAATTTCAATTCTTTTATCACCGTTTATGTAAATATACATTTTTATGTAAGCATCTAGAAATCTGAGGTGCTATCTCACCATTGTTGCCCTGGTGTCTAGCATAAACAGATTTAAAAATGTGATATATATGAATGAATACTATTCAGCATTATAAAAGAACATCCTTCCATTTGGACAACATGAATGAACCTGAAGGGCACTATGCTAAGTGAAATAAGCCAACAGAGAAAGGAAAACACTGTATTATCTCAATTATATGTGGAAACTACTAAAGTCCGAATCACAAAATAGGACAGAATAGTGATTGTCAAGAACTTTCTGTGAGGGAGATGGGGAATGTTGTTCAAATGATACAAAAATTCAGTTCTGCAGGATGAAGAAATTGTAGAGTTCTAAGTACAGCATGGTGAAACAGTTATAGAGTATATTGTACTTTGCTAGGAAAGTGTATTTGAAGTGTTCTCACCAGCAAAAAAACAAACAAACAAACATGCAAACAAGTGACATGACAGATGTGTTAATTAGCTTGAATGTGGTCATCATTTCACAACATACATGTTTATTTACATTTTTGAAACTGAACAACTATTGGATCTACAGGAATGGAAAGCAGGATGCTAAATGAGATGGCTCTTTAAATGCAAAATTTAATGAGAAATTAAGACTCCAAAACATACAGCATTTGCTGGCTTAAAACTGAACATTCAAAATACTAAAATCATGGCATCTGGTCCCATCACTTCATGGCAAATAGATGGGGAAACAATGGAAACTGTGACAGACTTTCATCTTCTTGGGCTCCAAAATCACTGCAGATGGTGACTGCAGCCATGAAATCAAAAGATGCATGCTCCTTGAAAAAAAAATCTATGACAAACCTTGACAGCATATTAAAAAGCAGAGACATTACTGTACTGACAAAGGTCTGTCTAGTCAAAGCTATGGTTTTTCCAGCAGTCATGTATGGATATGAGAGCTGGATCACAAAGAAAGCTGACCACTGAAGAATTGATGCTTTTGAACTGTGGTGTTGGACAAGACTCTTGAGAGTCCCCTAGACATCAAGGAGATCAAACCAGTCAATCCTAAAGGAAATCAGTCCTGAATATTCATTGGAAGGATTGATGCTGACGCTGAAGCTCCAATACTTTGGCCACCTGATGCAAAGAACTGACTCACTGGAAAAGACCCTGATGCTGGGAAAGACTGAGGCAGGAGAAGGGGATGACAGAGGATGAGATGGTTGGATGACATCACTGACTTGACGGCTGTTAAGTAGGAGCAAGCTCCGGGAACTGGTGATGGACAGGGAAACCTGGTGTGCTGCAGTCCATGGGGTCAAAGAGAGTTGGACTCGACTGAACTGACTGATCTGCCTTTGGGTTTCAGCGAAATGTGAGTATTGGCCACTGAGATGTTGGAGGGGTGGCTGAGCAAACATTCAATTCCTGTAATTGGCGATGTGAAGGGGGAACCAGGTGAGGACAGACGTAGACATACCAAGGGTACAGGTGAACCTGTTTTCCAAACAGAAACAGACTTACAGACTTGGAGAACGAATTTACGATTTCCAGGGGACATGAGTGGGAGAGGGATAGATTAGGAGTTTGGGATGGACAAATACACATTGCTGTATTTAAAATAATGATAGATAACCAACAAAGACCTACACTACAGTACAGGGAACTCTATTCAATATTCTGTAATAACCTAAATGGGAAACATGTTCAAAAAAGAAAAGATACATATTTATGTAGAACTGAATCACTTTACTGTATACCTGAAACTAATGCAACATTGTCACATCAACTATACTCCGATAGAACATTTTAAAGAAATTTTAAGTAAATGATGTATCCAGGGTATAGTAAAAACTTTTATGACTTATCAACAACAACCAACAAGACTTCAATAGACCTTCCTTCACACAAGACATGTATGTGGACACCAAGCAGATGAAGACAGGATGGAAATGCAAGTTAAAAAATACAATGCAACCTAGAGGGGTGGGATGAGAGGGTGTAAGGGAGGCTCAAGAGGGAGGAGATATACATATACATGTAGCTGATTCACTTCATTGTACAGCAGAAACTAACACAATATTGTAAAGGAAGTATATTTCAATTTGAAGAAGAAAAATGCTTAACATGGAAAATTTTATTAACTTTTTACCACAATAAAAAAATACAAATTTTTTACCTAAAAAATAAAACAAAAAACCACAATTCAATAACTTCTTCCACACTCAACTCAAAATCAAGAAAGTTAAAGATAACCAATATTGGCAACAATGCACAGATGTTGGAACCTTTAAACATTACTTGTGGGAAAACGGTGCAACCTATGTTTACTAAGTTGTTGTTGCTCAGTCGCTCAGTCATGTCTGACTCTTTGAGACCCCATGGACTGTAGCCCACCAGGTTCCTGTGTCCATGGGATTCTTCCTGCAAAAATACTGGAGAGGGTTGCCATTTCCTCCTCCAGGGAATCTTCCCGACCCAGGGATTGAATCCCGGTCTCCTGTGTCTCCTGCATTAGAAGGCGGGTTCTTTAGCACTGAGCCACCGGGGAAGCCCCGATATTTACTACAACTAGTCCTGGGTGTTCATTGGAAGGACTGATGCTGAGGCTGAAACTCCAATACTTTGGCCACCTCATGCGAAGAGTTGACTCATTGGAAAAGACCCGGATGCTGGGAGGGATTGGGGACAGGAGGAGAAGGGGACAACGGAGGACGAGATGGCTGGATGGCATCACTGACTCGATGGACACAAGTGTGAGTAAACTCTGGGAGTTGGTGATGGACAGCGAGGCCTGGCGTGCTGCAATTAATGGGGTCACAAAGATTCGGACATGACTGAGCGACTGAACTGAACCCTCCTAGAGAGAAACCTGTGGAATCCTGACCCAAGGGCACAGGTGGGAGGCCTTGCACCAAGACCACAGATACGAAGTCCAGAACTAAGGTCATCGCGGAACCGCCTGAGTCCCACTGTAACTGCCCCCGATTCTTACTCACCAGCTCCCTGATCCCCAAATAAGGCAAAAATGCCCATCCCGGGGCTCACTCTACAGCGCCCTACCCAATTCCCTAAAATGCCACCGTTTGAGCAGAAATTTTGTCCCCAGGCTGTAATAAATGTCTACTAACCCAGAAAAAGCTCTAGCTCCCCCTGGAGCTGCCCCTGTTACAACAGCACCCCGCAGTCTCTCCCCCACTGGCTGAATCTGCAGCGTCCACATCATCTCTGTTCCTCAATCTTAATACACTCGGTCCCTTCTGAAATGCTCTGCATCTGGAAATTCTTTTCCAACCCGCGCTCAGGCTGCCAGGACAAGAACCTAAAGAACTGAACACAGCACACACACGTTCTAATAGCGACTCTGTTCACAACGGCCAGAAGTAACAATGCAAACGTCCACCGCGTGTAAGCGGATAAACAAAGTGGTCCACAAACCACTCAGTATTCTGTCATAAAGGAATCGGGTGAACCAGTGCAGCCCGTGGGGAAGACAGCACGGCAGCTCCACCACAAACAGCGCAGGCAGGCCTGACACCATGTGCCACAAGCCCTCTACACCCACAGAGAACTGAGCAAAAACCCAGCTTTCCACACCATACCCTTCCCGCATCCTCTGAAGAGAGACACCTTCAGCTGTCAGTCGCTCACAGGAAGCTTCTCCCCACTTCCTCCTCACCTTGTCCTCCCGGAATCACCTGGATGAGCAGGAAACCCAGCTCCTGTGAGCGTGGACGCAGCCTTGTGTTGTCCTGAAGCCAAATCCAGCAAGCAGTAAGGAGACTGAGCTCCCAACTGCAGAGACGCTGCGTGGGGCAGTTCAGCCGAAGACCTGCGCTGGCTGACGAGACACAGCTTGTCAGCAGCCCTCAGAGCCCGCTACATGTAGAACGTGCATGACGTAAAACGTGCTTGACGCAACGTGTATGACGTGAACGTGCATGACTCAAAGCATGCGTGATGTAAAATGTGTGCAATGCGAACGTGCGTGACGTAAACGTGCGTGACGTGCGTGCGACGGATGCACATATGACGTAAAACGTGTGTGACGTGACAGTGCATGGCGTTAACGTGAGTGATATAAAATGTGCGTGACGCAAACGTGCATGATGCGAAACGTGGGTCACGTGGATCACATGAACGTGCACGAAGTGGAACGTGCATGATGTACGTGGGACATGCATGAGGTGGACCTTTCAAGTGGTGTGTGGGTTAGAGAGGCGAGTTCAGCACCACCGTATGGTCAGTGCGAGAAGTGCAGAACCTGCCTGCCTCTCAGTTCATTGGACATAGCGCTCCTTGCCAGCTGACCTGCTGAATCCATTTAACTTTGGACATTCACACTGAAATGGAGCCCCCGCGCAGGCCAACCCAGGCCACCACTCTGATCCCACCCGGGTAGCTTCATGTCCCTTCCCTGGCTGTGTGGGGGTGGGGGTTTCTGTCCTGTGGGTCGGCCTCCAGCAAGAGCGGGCTGGTGAAGGGTTAGAAGTCTGGCGGGCATTTGGTGTCCACACGCCTTGTCAGAGCTGGCTGGGCAGGATGGAGAGTGCAGGCAGCGCCCTTCTGCCTGCGGCTTACCCCAAGCCCTCTGGCAGATGTGAGCAGACATGGGTCTGGGCCTGATCTGGGAGCAGAAGGTCAACGACAGCCTAACGGGGGGGCTCTGGGCCACACCTGCTCCTGCTGCCGCAAACAACCCACAGCTGGGTCAAGACCCACAGCTCCTGCAGGAGAACCCACATCTGCTCCTACAGGAGACTCAGAGGGAGGAGCAGATCCACAAATCCCGCAGAGAGCATCAACACCCGTTCCTACAGGAGACCCAGAGCCCAGTGAGGAACTACCACCCCTGCCGGAGACCCAAAGCTGTCTCAGGAAGCACCAGCCCCACGGGCAGGTCCAGCCCTGCAACCAGCATCCCATCAGCTCCGGACCCTCAAAGTCAACCTACTCCCACACCCTAACTTTACTTCCTTTCCTCTGTTATTTCTTCTGTTCTTACTTATTTTTTTCATTCACATTTTTTTTAAAAGTTACATTCTATGTGTTTATGTTTCAAGTTTAAAATAATAAAATGTTAAACATTTTCCATTTTAAATTGTGCAGTAAGAAGCATTTAGTACATTCCCAATGTTGTGTAACCATTACCACTGTAGTTCAGACTATTTCATTCCCCCCAAATAAAACCCTGTATCCAAAGCAAGCGCTCCTCATTTCTCCCTCTCCCAGCCCCTGACAGCCCCTAATTTCTTTCTTCTTTGGTGTGTTTACCTATTCTGGATGTCTCCTACAAAAAAAAAAAAGAAACTTATAAAGGGGGCTTTTTGTCTCTGCCGGAAAATCTTGAGAGGGTCCAGGTGAATTTTTGTTTTTGTTTTTATTTGAAATAGCAGTTTTGCTATTTGAAAGGGAAATCAGATGGGTTAAAGCTGAGATGTATTAATACAAAATGAAGCCCTTTTAGTAAATATGTGTATATATAACCTGGGGTAGACACTGCTGTTCTAAGTGTGACATCTGAGCCACAAGACAGAAGGGAAATGCTGGGCTCTTCCTGCAGCAAAACCAAACAAACATCACAAACTAAAAACAAGAGAGGCAGCTGGAACCTCAAGGTCAGAGAAAGGCTCAAGATCCCTGGGGTCCAAAAAACTCTCGAAAACCAATGTTCTAACAGGAAACAGAGCAAACACATGCAATTCCAACGAAAGGCCACGCATACAGCCAGTGTGTTAGGGAAATTAAATAGTCTTGTTTAGGCTTTAGAGATATAGCAGAGCAGGCTTCTGACTTTGCTTCTAACTTGCCTGGACACTGCCCTGTCTGTGAGTGACTGTGAGTGAGCACCAGACTTGCGGCACCATAGACAAGATGGGGGACGAATCTTGAGATTGTTGAGCCCCTGGAGGGGGCCTGGTCAAACAAGCCCCAGGCCTAACAACATTCCAAGTGTTACATGACAAAACAAACAGCATTAACATGAAACCAGAGCTGCTATTTGCTCACAGACTGATGATATCAGTTTGCATCCTGGGATTATAAGTGGGATGATATCAGTTTGCATCCTGGAATTATAAGTAGGAACCCCAAACTGCAATTTTTGACATCTCATCCACGGAGCGGAGTGATGCCTGGGACATTTTCCCAATTGGGACTCCAGATGTGCTGGGACACAGGACTTCCCAGTGCTGTTTGAGTCTGGATGTTGGTCAAAACCCAATTTGGTGATGTATCCTCTGCTGTTTCTATTTATCTTTTCTTTTAATGTTGGTATATTAAAAGTAAGCTAGATAATTCTCAAATTGGTATTATTTATTTGTATATATGAGTGGTTTATTTTGTTAACAAATCCTTTGCACCTGAGACGAAAGTGAAAACTTTCACCAAAATAGCATGCTAGAAATGCTGGGAGGGAGCAAAATGTGGTTAGTGTGTGGTGTAAGGAGGGGCTTGGGGACTTGGGCAAAGTTCTGCCTTGTCCAAGGTCGTGTTCAAGAAATAACAAGTCATTAAATCCTATATTTGATTTGTGTGGTTTTCTGTACCTGTTTTACTTAAAACAATTTTTAAAATAAGTCAGATCTAGATCTACTGATATGAATCAATCTGCAAAAGTATACGGTCAAGGGAAAGAAGCCTGGCCTAGAAGAGTGTGTATAGCGTGACACATACAATATGTGTCTGGATGAGTTACATATCTGTCCCTGGGATGACATGCAGACAAGGGCCCGGAGGGGTCAGGACGCGGGCATGAAAGGCCACACTGCTTCCACTGTGTACACTCTGTACTTTCACAATGTCTACAGTTATCACTCAAACAAACAACAAACTCCTACTGTACAGCATGGGCAATCACATTCTGTGATAAATCCTAATGGAAGAGAATATGAACAAGGATTGTATATGTAGGACTGAATCACTTTGCTGTACACTAGAAAGTAACACAACATTGCAAATCAACTATACTTCAACAAAATTTTAAAAGCAATTAATTAACTATCAATTTTAAAAGATGAAAAGATGCTCAGCATCACTGGTTGTCAGGGAAACACAAGTCAAAATCACATTGAGATACCAGCTCATACCCATGACGTTGGCTAAAATCAAGAGGAACAGGGGACTTCCCTGATGGTCCAGTAGTTAAGAATCTGCCTGTCAATGCAGGGGACGCGACTTCTATACCCGGTCCAGAAAGATCCCACATGCTTCGGAGCATCTAAGCCTGTGCGCCACAACAAGAGAAGCCACTGCAAAGAGAAGCCCGTGCACCACAACAAAGAGTACTCCTCACTCTCCGCAACTAAGAAAGCCCATGCACAGCAATGAAGAGCCAGCACAGACATTGATAAATAAATAAAAAGTAGTATTCCCATCTGCCTTTCACAGTTTGGTCTCTAATTTGTTCACTGAGGATACACATACGGATTGAGGATGGGTGGCTCAGGAGGTGGCCCTCCAGGGACATGTCCTTCAGGGACATTCAAGCTTTATTTAACTACACGCTGCTTTTCAGGTTAAACATTCTCTATCTTTACATTTCTGGGAGTGACTGGGGTCTGCCTGCCTTTGAATACCCCTATAAACACTGTGGCGCTTGTCCCCTGTGTAGTGAGCCCAAGTCATAGGGCACAGCCAGCACCTGCCTTTCTTTTTAGACGTTTTTAAGTTTTGGCCACACCCCATGTTATGTAGGACCTTAATTTCCTGACCAGGGATCAGACCTGAGTCCCCTACATTGAAAGGCAGAGTCTTAACCACTGGACCACCAGGGAAGTCCTTACTACCTGTCTTTCTCACCTGCTAGTGAGGACTGTCTCGTCTCCTATCCAGGACTCCCTCTACCACACTCACCACACTCCTGTCTCTCTCCTAATCAGCTTCTTTAGGATGGACTGGATTTAATCGGGGACAAAAGCTTTTCTTTTTTCCCCTAGGGAAACAGCTCTCTGCTGTGACGCCAAAAGAAATAAAAATACTCAGTTTAAATTCCACACTGAATTTCAAAGTAAAATATTTAAAATGTTCTGAGCAGGTTACTCCATTTCAATACTCTTTGTTATTTCTATATGGGAGAATTCCTTGGATAAGACATATCACAACCTTGGGATTTATAACACAATTACTCTGAAAGTAAGCTGAGAATGACTTGACATAATATGTTATGAATAAGAAGGTACCTGCATAGAAATTAATCGTTGATTTCTTTAAAAAATATTGTGGTGTGTGTCTCATGAAAATTCCCCCTTTTTCTCCCCTAGTTCACAGAGAAAGTGCATGCTTAAGTTTTGAGAGATACTATCAAATTGCCAGAACCAAAAACTAACAATTTACAGTCTCACCAATAGTGCAGAATGCAGTCCACACACCCAATTTTCTGAAATTCTGATACTGGGTATTATCAGCCCTAAAAAATTCTTTTTTTGCTGTCAGATGGGCAGGAAGACTTACCCTGTTGCTGTAATGGTATTTCCTTTGTTACTGACATGATCACTTATCTCTCCATTCGGGATTAGCCAGTATTTCTTCTCTCTGTGAAATGCCCTCTCATATCCTCATTCTAGTTTTCCATTAAGTTTTCTCTTTGGGCTCTTTTCATGTTAAGGAGAGTGACCTGTTGGAACTTCCCTGGTGGTCCAGTGGCTAAAACTCTGCACTGCCAATGCAGGGGATCTGGGTTTGACCCCTGGTCAGGGAAGAAATTGCATGCTGAAACTAAGACCCAGTGCAGATAAAAAGAAGAGAAAAGGAGGATAGTGACCTTTCCCCCTCTGCTGTAAATGTTACAAGTGCATTCTTTCCTGTTGCTCGTCTTAATTTTTGGTGAGAAATCTTGCCATATATAAATACTTAATTTTTAGGTTGTCAATCATATCCTTCATAAAATAAGCAAAGTTTCATGTGAATCCAAGTTGAAGAAGGGCTTTTGCTGTCTTTCTGTTTAG